AGAGAGGGAGAGAAGGGAAAAAAAAGAATGTAAAATTACTAAGGCAGCCAATAGACCTGGATGAACACACTTGGATGTCGGTCATAGGTGACTAACCTGTGGGATGGATCTCATTAGGAGCCACATATGACTTCCTGACTAAGACTTCTTCCATGCCTGGAAGTGGGGTGCTGACGCTACACGTGTGGTAGCAGCAAGTTGCTATTAAAGAGGCAGAACTTACTGCTAAATCCCCAAAAACTCGTGTTCCAAGGTGCATGTTCCTGGTCGCCCCATCCATTTTCATGCCGTTGAACGTCTGGTCCACCTGCCCCCGCTTTGTCTGAGCTGAAAGGTGTGTGCAGGTGCAGGATTTGTTTGCCTAACTGAGACATATTTTGCCTGTCATTACTCCTGTTTGATGGTGTCACCTTTTGGTGTTGACAGCAAGAAGACAAAAAGGAATCTACTGTCCAACTCTCCACCTGCACACAACGTTTCATTACAAGCTGATTTGGTAACAGTGTTTACACACACCTAAATATAACTCTTTTCTTTTCTAGATTAGATATTCTCCACCCTTGCCATAATGATATGGTAGGTGGATAGCAATTCTCTACAACCCAGACATGGAAATTGGGTGGCCATCACGGAGACAGAGGTGAGCAAGTCACATGCACAGTATGGAAGACAAGGGGGGCATTGTCTCTGACACCCAGCAGCCAAGTGGGTCTAACGTCCCTCCAGACAACAGGACTCCTTCAGCTTCCAAATTATGACTCGAAATAAAGAAGGTGCATTTATCACTGAATTAAAATATTAGTGTACCTGCCAGATGTTAATGAACCCAAAATGCCAGCCCCTCTCCCAGCCAGGGATGTGACTTCTCCTTGTTGCAGGTGGGGAAGGGGTAGATAAGAGTGAGACCTGCCCAAAGCCACACAAAGTATCTGCAGCAAACCCAGGAACAAAACTGCAGTCTTTGCAGGGCTTGAACCTGTTTCTCAACCACAAAAAGCTTAATCTCCTGAAGCCAAATCCCCCACTTTCTATATTTAGTCAGTGAGGATCATGGGAAGCATTCATCAAAAATGCCATTTTTGCCTCCATCAGAATGTTGTAAAGAAATAATTAAAATCCCAGCAAGTAAGTTCTAGTTCCCTCTTTCTTGGATTTGGGCCTTTCTCCCTATTTAAATTTACCTTGTGGCAGTTTCTAACATTCACCTTCAAAGTCCAGAGACATAAAGCTCAAAATTTTATCATTAATAGAGGTGAAAATTAAATATCTACCATTATTTTCAACTAGGGTAAAACCTTTTTGTTTTCCTGTCTGTCAGGGAAGTGTTGACTGGATGATGTTCTGCTTCTAGAAGACATTGCTCTAGGTTACAATCATAGAATAGTTTGGGTTGGAAGGGACCTTAAAGATCATCTAGTTTCAATCACCCTGCCATGGGCTGGGACACCTCCCACTAGACCAGGTTGCACAAGGCCCCATCCAACCTGGTCTTGAACACCTCCAGTGCTGGAGCATCCACAGGGGCTCTCCCTGTTTAGAGCACTGCATTGCAGGCACAAATCCACCACAGCCACAGCAGCTGTTCCCTGAGCACCTTCTGCCCAAGATGTTCTTGGCTCCAAAGACACGGAAATGGGGAAATGAAAAAAAGACAGAAGACACTTGATGCCATCGATGGTCAATTTTTATTGCTGCACATAGGTACTAAGAGGACACAGGTTAGAATGCAAGATGAGAATGAAAGATTAGAAGGAGAGAGATCTTCCAACATCAACTGCCTACAGCACAGCCATCACTAAATAACTTCCCAAGGTGCACAGCAGTATAATGTCGGTCAGCTGCAGCTACCAAGAAGAAGGTGCTGAGATAGCAGAAGTATCTTAGGAAGCAAAGATACTCTGGAAAAAGCAAAAGAAAAAGCGTGGGGTAACCAGATCAAGAGAGGTCTTGGTCCGTTGCGGGTGGGTCGGTCACTTGTTTCTCAGAAGCCTGTGCCCAAGCACCAGGCAAGGCTCATGGGCAGAGGTGCTTAGCATGGGCGAGAGCAGACGGTGCTGCAGGGCTCCAGGCACACGGTCTCACAGGACTCCAGGCACTTGGTGGCACACACCTCCACGCACGGGGCCTGGCAGGGCTCCACGCACTTGGTGGGGCAGGGCTCGACGCACTGGGGCGGGCACTGAGGGGCACAGGGCTTCACGCAGACGTCGATGCACTTGGGGGGGCAAACCTCCACGCACTGGGTGCTGCAGGAGGTGGAGCACTGGGTGGCACAGGGCGTCGGGCAGACCTCCACGCAGGGCGTGCACTGGGTGGGACAAGGCTCCACGCACTGGGTGCTGCAGGAGGTGGCGCACTGGGTGGCGCAGGGGGTGGCACAGACCTCCACGCAGGGCGCGGGGCAGGGGCAGGGCTCCACGCACACCGTCTTACAGGGCTCCACGCACTTCCCGCATTTCTGCACGCAGATGGGAGGGGGCAGGCAGGGCTGCTTGCACTGCTCGTAGTAAGACATCCTTCGGAGGTGCTGCTGGAGCTAAAGGCAAAGATAAAAAGAGAGAGACAAAATCAGGACACTCGGCCTCTTTTCCTGAGCCACAAGCCGCCACCCGAGCTCTCGAAACAGCTTTTAGACTGAGGAAAGGACTGCTGGGAAATAAAAATTCCATGTGCGAATGATTTCTGGGTTCAGACATTTGCAACTAAGGCTGCCAGATTATTCCTTCTTTTTTTTGACAGCCTGAGAGCATCATTGGTAGGAAGACTAGAGCCATAAACCCTCAACGTTGCAGAACTGCCCACAGTTAAAATCTGTAGAAGCCATAAAATGAAAATAGTTCATTTCCTGATTTCCTTAATTAAGTCATCAAGGCCTATCTTTGCTTATCACTTCTTCAGTTCCTCGTGCACGCCATGGGACTCATTCCCCTTTGGGCAGATGTTGAGCTACTAATGCCCGAGGATAAAACCCAAAGAGCACAAATTCAGATGCTGCCCCAAAATCCTCCATTCGTGCACGTCATTGGAGTGGTATCAGAATTAATGGGCTCCTCCTTTCAGAAGAGAAGGAATGGCCCAGAGGTTGCAGCTCCTATTTCCAATTCATTTTCTCATCTTGACTTCTCCCAGATGTCTCCTGCAGCCTTGCCCTCAGGTATTCTGCAGCTTCCTTCTTCCAGATAATGCTTCTTCCCACCCATCTCTTTTGAAGTCTCAAGACTTACTCCGCAGCATCCACTAATTTATTTAATTTCCAGGCTTAATGAGGTATGAAGAAATTAATGAAGATAGACTCTGAAGGAGGACAGTTTCTGAAGAGGTGACAGGACATTTGCAAGCTACTTAAGGAACAGCAAATTCTAAATAAGATTTGAACATCCCCCATTCCAGGACAAATCCTGGAACAGAAACACCCGAAGCAAAGCTCTCCTGGGACCCGTAACGTCTTCTCTGGACCAGAACAAAGAGGTAACACAGTCTCCCGGATAAATCCAAGAAAGACTTACCAGTTCACCAATGCAGGTGAGTGCAGGAGAAGTCAAATGAACTGGTGTGAGCATCAAAATGCAAACCTTTTTATATGGCTTGCCTGGCGTCACCTCCGGAAACAAGGGAGCCCAGGGGGACGGACACCTGACCACTAACTACCTCAGCAGGCTCCACCTATACATGCTTTACATATTTGTTTACATCCTAATTTTTGATGGAAACCCTCTTCCAGGAATAGCATGTGATCCTGAGCAAACCCTGCTCCCACCTACCGCCCAAGTCATGTGGTTCCCAACGGGAGTGACACGGTAATTAAAATAAAAATCAAGTACTGGATTAATTGGTTTTCAAAAGAAGATTTAATACGCTTGGATATTTTCATCTCCTTATTTCCATAAACGTCTGAATGGTACCTTAGGGGTTTTTTTCAATGCCATAAGGATGGATAGCTGTCGTTAGGGAAGAGGGACAATGGATCTGATTTACTATGAGAAATATCCTGTCCGAATTCTCATGGTAAGAAACAGCTAATCCTACACTGGGCCATCTTCCACAAACTGTTGAGGTATCTGTTTCTTTAATATCTTATTCACCATTAAATGCACCCAACCCAATCCTCTCCACCCTCTCTTAACAACACTCACGCTTGGCAATGTCAATGGGGACACTCTCCAGTTACCCTGAGGACCTCTTCAAGATATTCAGGGCAAAGTCAAGGGGTACTTATTTTGAAGGCATTTTTTATTGCCCAAGCAGAGGAAAGGTCTTTGTTTAAGGAGGATTTAGGCCCAGGACTCCACGTTAGCACATGGAAGCCTTTTGCTGATCATGAGATCTCACTCTCAGCACAGAAAACCTTTATTGCTCTGAGATGTTCCAACCACAGAGGTGGAACATGATCATCAGTTTACGTTTAGGTGGCTAAATTCCCCAATGAGATCACTTACAGAAATGCTAAATAGGCAAAAAAAAAACCCCAACCTGTTCAGCATGAGCAGTGCATCCTGTTTACACTGGAAACCAGGAATCCTGCTGGAGAATGGCAGGCATGGGTGCTGGTTCCTTTCTAGTGTTTACACAGGGAAACTGGAATTCCTGTCCTAAGCTCATCACATGAGCACCATCATGGGTTTGTGCTGCTCTGGGCATCCTCCCAGCAGCACCTCATGGTTGGTTCAGTTTTTCTGCTCCTCTTCCTTCAGTGGATAGACTCCATGCATCGTGTGCTGTTGGTCCCCCCCAGGACTCTGCTGCTCTGGTGGCTTTTTCAGATGGTAGGAAGAACTAGGGACTTATACATCGTGGTTTGCTTGTCTTAGACATCTGCTTCAAGGTCAGGAGAAACACCCATGACTCCATCAGATAGACCCTGCAGATTGTAAAATGAACAGAGAAAAACTAGCTCCAATTCAGGTATCTAATGTTTTGTCAGATTAATCTCTCCCCATCTGAGAACCATAGAATCACAGGTTGGGGTGGGAAGGGACCTGTAAAGATCATCCAGCCCAACTGCCTGCAGTAAGCAGGGACATCTGCAACTAGAGCAGGGTGTTCAGAGCCCCGGCCAACCTCACTTGGAAGGTCTCTAGGGATGGGACGTTGACCACCTCTCTGGCCAACCTGGGCCAGGGTCTCACCACTTTCCTAAACATTTCTTCCTTCTGTTTCCTCATAGAGCTAACTCTGCTGGGTGGTGCTGAGCAAGCAATTGTCCTCCAGTACCTCTAGGTCCACTCACAGCAGCAGCCTCCAACACTTATCTTGCTGTGGAGTTTCTCACAGGCTGGTTTGTACAGTTCTTCATGCTCTCCTAGGGCTCCAGGCTCACCTCGAAAACCAACGCTGAAGACCGGTCCTACGTCTCCCTTTCTACAGTGGGTTATTTTATAACCTATTGTTATATTTGATTACCAAGAAATTGTAACGACTTCTAAGAGAAACAGACATTTTAGAACCTATAAATTGATCTGCATTTGTAATATGTGGGAACATCAGAGGGCTGGATTATTATTCTTAATTGAGGCTTATTTGTGGATCTTTATTACGTCTATGAGCAATTTGGTCATTTGACCAGCCACATTAACTTCAGTGAGTCAGGACCCCACAGCAACATCCTTTTGTGACCATCCTCCTTTGGTAAAAGAGCTGCAAAGAAGAGATTTTTTCCCAAATCTGACACTTCTGGGATATGTTTGATTCAACGACACAACCTAAGTTCTCCTGCAGAACCAGAGGCTGGTGGGATGGGATGGTGTGATGAGTGCTTTGATGAAAAGAGCTCAGCAGAGCACAAACCTGAACTAGAATCGGTTCCTGGAGCCCAGGAGGAGACAGATTCCCCTACCCAGAGGTGTGGCTGGTGCTGCAGAAGAGGAGCCCTTTGACCATTGTAGTCTAGTGCTGGGGAAAATATTTTGGAAAAACTCAATAAAAAATAACACAGGCAACACTTTTGACTCCCAGTAATCCAAGAGAGACTTCATAGTTCACCAAAAGCTACCAAAGATCAAGATTGATTGATTGATCTTTGGTACATCAAGAATGGAGCCATTTTCCCACAGCTATAAAAATTTTCCTCGCAGACATGAAACACAGCCTGGCCAAAGAGAGATGATCATGGACATAAACACAGGACGAGCAGATGTCATGATTTTGGATGAGAACACCTCAAACTGATTTTCTTTCCCTGGGCAGCTAACTGGGTATGGACCGTTTAGGGCTGTTCAGCTAGAGTTCTGCTAAAAAAAAAAAATACAATTTCATAAACTGCTCTTCGCTGTGCTTTAAAAACGTGACACCTCTGGATTTCTTTGCAGCCCTTAGTTTACTTAAAAGCCTCCTAAATTTTCTTCCTCTGTGGCTTCTAAGTCAGCCTCGGGGATTTCATTTTGCTGATGTGCAGCATCCTATGTAGCACGCTACCCACATTTTGGTGAGCAAAGGTTTTTCCTTGAAACCAAGGATTCTCCCCATATTCTCAGCATGGCACGAGCTTTCCCAGCCCTCTCCTGCACTTCGTTGCAATTAAATCTTAAAGTCTGGGGCTTCATTACACCCGACTTTCCCCTCTCATCCTTCCCCACCGCAAGTACACGCGGAAGGGGTGAGGATGGGATCCAGGGCAGCTCCCAGGTGGAGCTGCTCTCCAGGCTGCTCCGGTTTTGGGAAACTTCCCATAGCTGAGATGCCAGGAGGCTGAGTGCAGAATGCAATTAGCCTCACACGAAAACAAGTGGCTTGTCTAGTCCGTGCCCCAGGGACTATTTGATCGAGTAATGAGATCATTACTTCTGGGGCTGAGAGGAGCCCAAATACGGCAGGATCCGCCTCTTTTCCTGTTTACTCAGGAAGGTGAGTGCTCCGTGAGGAATGATATGTGAGCATCCGAATGCAATTAAATCTGAAAACGAGGAACTAGCTGTGATTAGGGAAAAATACCTCAACGGCTTTGTCTTCTGCCTTCTAATGCAGACATTTGCTTTGATTTTCCCACTATTTTGGAATGGCAATCGAGCTTTCCTTTAGATTTTTTATATTCCTGAGTAAAATCATGCCCTGATCTCTGAAGAATGTATTTTAGAGCTTAGAGCACAGTGCCTGAGAGAGCAAGAACCATGGGCCTATAACATTTGTTTATGCTGAAGAGCAATTTTCTCCCTAACTCTTATAACAGTTTCATAGGTGTAGTATGAATGTTTATGCAGGTGCTCAGGAAGGATCTCTTCTTCCTCTTCCTACAGCACCGTCTTGCGACGCTCACTTGGAAATGAAGTGTCTGCTCTCTGCTAATGACCTCACCCTTTTAAAATCTGAATTTTTATGTCCATGTGAAGGATTAAATATGACGCAAGCATCATGCCATCAGAGGGATGCTACAGAGAAGGAGTCTAAAGGAAAATCTTACATAAATGCCTTTTATTCCACCTACAGGTTGTTTCCCAGAAGATTGCTCCATTTGTTTTGGGAACAGGAGCAAAGGAAATTGTTGCTTGCACAGAACCTTTTAATGGCTTTTGAAGGAGTATT